TAAGTAAGTAAGTAAGAAATAGTCAGAATGCAAATTGCATGTAGACCCTATTCCATGATGTTGTTAGGTAGTCTCGGACAAGAAATCATGTTTTTCCTACCTAGATCTACATGTAACAACTAATGTTTGCAATTTCACATTCTGATTATTGAAATAAAATTATTTGTAACGGGTGAATGAAATAATTTGTAACGAGGCACTTAACAAAGATTATCTATTAAATTGATTCCATTCCTGTGCCTCTTCTTGCCACTGCTGGGCCGAGGGGCCTTGAATAACTCCTGGGATCTCTATATATGGTGTAGACTCTGCAATACATGATGACAATCGTTGCATGCTGGGAAAGAAACCTGGGTGCCCTGATTGTTGACTACAAAAAAAAAATCACAAAATCATTGTTTTTCTGCCCAAATAGACCTACAGCATTTCTTGAATATTAACCCTGTGAGGCACAGCTTCTTGGCTGGTCCCAGTCATTTTTTCCAAAGGCGGGTTTCAGGAGGCGTGGGCGAAAAAGTTTATGGCGTTGAAGTAAAGCACCCAAAACCTTAAGCTATTATTAAATAGATGTAGTGAATTGAAACTCTGAAGGATAGTTATTCCATCTGTTGTATATGCGTAATATTTATATTTTTTAATGTTGTTTTCAGATACTGTCGTCCATGTGATATCACCATTTTCCAGAGGACTACTGGTACATTTCTGTCGAGTGAGAAGGACATCTTACACCATGGATGGATTCTGCCTTCTCTATCTGCTCCTGATCCTCTTGATGAGATCTGGTGACGTTGAAACCAATCCAGGTCCTAACCCTGCAGTAAGGTATGCATAGCGCCTTTAGGGTTAACAATGACGTTGAATTCTGGGCCCTGTTTCATAAACCTTGTTATCATAACAAGTTACAATAACTGTTATAAGCTACTAGAATAAGCAAGTTCACGGTTGCAGTCTGAGGAAGAGCAGATAAAGGTTATTGCAGAACAAATTGTGAAAAATACGGAGACGAAATACCGGATATGTGCTGATGGGAGTTATGTAACATTATTCATTCATGCACAAGCAGTGCACTCCATGATACACAGGTGGAAGTATTCTTTGAAAAGGAGAAACAAAGGCTATATGTAGCACCTCCATCGCTGTAGGAGTGATTATTTCAAAATGTACAAAGTGGGACTTCTCCATGTTTTGAAGATCTGTGGATATTCGGGGCCATTACAGAGATGTGCTAACCGTGAATTGGTCTATTGTGGCATTTGTTCTGCTGAGAGCCTGAGAGCCTGAGATCAGAAATGTCATAGAAGTTTAGCATTTTTGATTGATAACAAGTTTCATGAAAAAGGGACCTAAAGTTACGTGATTGCATTGCGAAAGAAACAGTGTGGAAGCGATAGGAAAGGTTGATCATGTAGCACATACATGTAAGTATTGGTGTATACTGTGAGGTGTTGGAGTTGTCAAAATTATAATTTTGCCCAGTCTTGCTAAAAGTCATGTATGTACTAGCTGGACATAGAAATGTGTACCGTATTTGGGACTCCACAAACATGGCGGCAGGAAAGTGCATGTGGTCAAAAACAATTTTTTTTTTAAAAATGAGGGCATTTGAAGAGCTGTCTTTTTCAGTCAGGGAAGATTTTGTTCTATGATACTCTTCCACACTAACATAAAAAGTGTGAAAAAGCTCATAATTTTTTGTCACCTTTCCCAAAAACTCAACCTCCTTAAACAAGGCAAACCACACAATGTGGTCAGTCATGAATGAGATCAATGTGTCACTTGAAATCATCATTTTATAGAACAAACTTATAGGCCCGAATTCACAAAGGAGGTCTAAATTTAACCCATGGTTTTAACCTTCATTAAGTTCATTTACATAACCCATGGTTTAAAATTAGTGCTAAAAAAAGTGCAACACAGTCAAGAGGTCCAATATTAGACAATAATAGGGACTTTTCGTTTTACACAACGAGAACGTAGACCGCCACGTGTGAATCCTTTTAAGGTAATGTGCCATCCTTTTAAGGCACTGCCGGGCACGGCCCAGTGCCTTAACACAAAGGCACACGCGGCAGTCTACGCTCTCGTCGTGTAAAACGAAAAGTCCCTATTAATTACCCTTGACAGAATAATACTGCCCTGACCTGCAACTTGGACCAATATGTTTCAATTGTTAATATCACAGGCATTATATTCTGATATTCCTAGGCTGTTATATTGCACGCTCAAGCACTTGTTGAGTATCACATGATAACTTCTCAGGCAATAGGATGCTCTCTAACGCTCAAAATACACGGGGGCGATGGGCGATTCGCCCCCGTGAGCTCCATAATCGCCCCCGTCAGGTTGCTCACAGGGGCGAGGGTTCAAAATAGCAACAACAAAAATCGCCTCGCTGCTACGCGGCTCGTGGACGATGCTCCACATCTTATTTGGATTACCCCCACCCTAATTAGCAAAAAGCTAGATCCGCCCCTGTGCTTTGGAAGGATATGGTAAAGACTAAAAGTAAAGAAAGAATGTAAATAAGGTTGCTCCGAATAAGGAAATTATGTGCAGAACGGGAACAAATGGAGAGAATGTCATCACGGGATAAAAGTCAATAGCAGCTATGTCAAGTAAATTTCTAAGAGGGAAAATGCCGACTTAAATAAATGACAATAAGAAAATACCAAGGAATCTAGGAGTTTCATAGGTACCAATTCAATGGAAATTTGTATTAAAAAAAGAGCCCCCGTGGGAAGGCTCACGGGAGCCCTGTCTCGAACTAATATCCTATCATACCCAATTAATTTATTATTCATTTTACAGTAATGTCAGTGACATGGAGTTCCTGCAGCTGGCCCATGATATCCAACCATCTTACTACGAGGCTGTAGGGATATCCCTAGGGTTCTCCTATGCTCAGCTAGAGAACATCCTGATTCAGAAGTGGAATAACTATACCAATGCATTTTTGCGGGTATTCATGAAATGGAATGTCATGCAAAAACCTCCACACTCAAACAAACGGCAGGTTTTGGCAGACAAACTACGAGAGATCGACTTGGGTGGCTTATCAGACAGATTACTCAATGAACCAAACAGCACAGGTAAACAGATACTAATTATTGCAGTCTTGCTATGTCAACAGAAGATATAGAAAACCATGCATTAAAGTAAAGTCAGTTTTTACCATCTAGATAAAATGACTGATGCTCTGTGTTCTATACATGCATGTACATTTGCCACAATTTACAGAAGTGTCAAATTTTATCAGGCCACATGTATGTTTTTATAATTTACTAATTGAATTTCGTTAATCCTAGGTATTTTCTGTACACCAGTATAGTACAAGTTCTTTGAGTGATAGCAGAGTTTAATATTTGTCAGCTTTTTTTATGTGTACATGTTCTACAAAAAGTTATCCTTATGCGTTATTTCATTATGATAACTATCATTATGCATCTGCCCATGCACGGATGCATAATTGACTTCATGTCTTCATACAAGTCAAATTCAGACAAACATGTAGGACTTTGTGTCTTTGCATGAGTGCATGCACCTAGTCGTAGGTCACATTATTAGCCTCATGCCTTTAAAATCCTTTCAGATGTATCAAAATACATGTTTATGTGTAACCATATGAATATCGATTATCTATGTATTTTTAGGAGGGTCATCAAGACTGCTCGAATCACAGACCAAACCTCCTTCAGGTGAATCTCAGACCAAACCACTTTCTCCTGAACTAGTTAAGCGGTGTGCAAATGATTTCAAGTTCAAGTACAGGTCAACTGTATGTAAGATCAGAGCTGATCCTCTTAATCCTGCTTCCATTGTGCAGTTTAAAGACATGTATACTAATCTCGTCTTACTAGAAGAACATGGGACAGAAAAACAAATGCTAGATTACAATGATATCCTTGATCTCAAAGTCAATGGAGAGTTCCCCAAGCGGATCATGGTTCAGGGAGAGGCAGGGGCTGGAAAAAGTACATTTTGTGCTAAAATTGCCTGGGACTGGATTGAAGGGATGCATTTCAGTCACTTTGTGTGGGTCTTGATTGTTCCTCTACGTGAATTTAAGCAACACACTATTGGCAAGATTGCAAAGTCTTATCTGGCCAAAAACAATCCAGCAACGGTTTCTCAGATTACTGAGTATATCCAGTCAAATCCTGACAAGGTATTCATTGCATTCGATGGGCTAGACGAAGTCAGTGGCGAAATCATGAAGTATAAATCCTGCGAATCACAGTCTACTGGTCAAATGCAACTTCAGCCATCACAGCCAAGTGTCAACTCTTCAGAGGCATGTGGAAGCTCATCTGAGACTGGTGATATTGGACTTGTAGACATTCTTTGTTCCAATCAACTTGCCTCTTGCCCTGTCTTGGTTACCACTCGCCCATGGAGAGCAGTAGAGATTAGATCAGATGGTGATCTGATGAAGCTCTACACATTCATTCATGTTGAGGGTTTCAACAGAGAGAATTTGTCAGTTTACATTCACAAATACTTTCCAAAGAATGAGGATAAGGCAAATCAGCTTATCCAGTTCACCCGTGAGAATGATGTCATATCTGAAAACATGGCCCACTATCCTATATATGTAGCCATGTTGTGTCTTATGTGGAAAGAAGTTGGTGAGCAAAAACTAAAGGAAATGAAATCACTGAAAACTTTTTCTCAAATATTCAAAACAATGATTGCCTTTCTAAAAGAACATTATGCTCAGAAAGAGGTGAAGAAAGTAGGCAGCCCCTCACTTCTTGCCTCTTTGAAAAAAAATTGATGAGCTCCTTATACCAATTGCCAAACAGGCCCTCAATGGTCTGCTAGAAAATACCTTAGTTTTCGGTGAAGACGATTTTGAAATTTGCCCAGAATCCAAGGACACTGCCTGTAGGGTTGGGATTTTGTCTCAGGAGGACAGAATTACCACTAGCATGGACATACACCAGGGAAATTCTTATGTGCAATTGCCAGTCTTCTTTCCTCACAAACTGTTTCAGGAGTACATGGCTGGAGTCCATCTTGCTTCCCTGTATGAATCAGATCGTAATGAATTCAACAGGCTGATTGAGCAAGTAGTGCTGCCATGGAAGGAGAGGTTTAGGTATCTCCTGTACTTCACTGTGTCACAAAACAAAAGTATTGCAACCCATGTAATGAGGTCTATGCTTCAAGGAGTAAACAGGAGTCTATTGGCCATAGAGTTAGCTTTCATTGTTGATGTAGCCTTTGAGAGACAGGACCCAGATGTAGCAGCCTTGGTGAGGGACAGGATTTCATCAGAGGAGATTGAGCTGACCATAGGCACATACATGACAGCACACACTGTAGCTGGTTATGCATTCATTGGACCGCATGTGGTAAGTTTAATCATAGTTTGATAAACACAATTAGTACATCCATTTTTTTACATTACGTCTTTTTGCAATTTGTTTACAGTACAACAGTATAATTATGGAAGGGTACATCAAGGAGGTTTAAACAGAAATAATTTAAAAACTAGAGCTGCAATCGGTGATGATATGCATGCATTGATTCCTGCATTTCTATTTTTTGAGCAGATAAATAAACTGAGCAATTAGATCAATGGTACTTTGTACAATGTACACAACATTACGCACACACATGTATGGTTTTCCATATATACTTTTGCCTACATGTGTATGGCCTTGAATGCTAACATACCAATACATGACGCATATAGAGCGATACATTGTAATGCAGGATATAAAATGGCATCTAAAACGTCCCGCTTGACAGATTTGTGAAATTAGGCTATGAGATATGCCCTGAGTTTGGCCACCCAGAAAATTCTTTTCAATACAATTTCAAGATAAAGAAAAACCGAAAAGGGGCAAAAATCAGTCTGAAAATAGAAGTTATAGCCGCTACGTGTTACGGGCAGAAACCCTGCGTAATCAGAATTGTGACCTGCTTCCAATTTCGATTTACTAAAAATTTTCTGAGTGAACATGTGTATGGAACCATTTGAAGGCGCATTCCATTGTGGTACTCCAAGCATTTCACGCATTGTAATGTGATGCATAGCAAATTCAGCATTTTTTAAATTAATCTTGTGATGATGACGTCATGAAATTTTACCAAAGTTGGCAGTCTGTTGTCAAGTAGGTTGATATACATGTCTGCCAAGTTTCATAGATCTAGGTATAAAGTTCGCAAATTGAGCGCATACACCTGTTGAAGTTTAAAAGGATTTATCCTGAAAAGTATGGTTTTTGAGAGCAATTTTTCTCTAGTCGGTCAGTGGTAGGACAAATTTTGTTGTTGTTGTTGCTGAAAATTGTTTATCTTGAAGTATGTAAATCCAAAAAAGGGTACCGATAAAGCCAGGCATGATAAAGCTACATGTATGGCCCTATAAACATCCATTGTCAGAACTTTAGAGGATGCTATTCATATCATGCATGACTATATTGATGTGTGAAATTCAGCAGAAATATGTGCAATGCAAAGATAAACATGCTGTAAAAAATTCAGACAGAAATCCACCATATTAATTTAGTGATCATATTCCTATTAACATTTATAAATGATTAAGGTATGATTGAGCACCAGATGGTGTGGACTTAAATAATCTCCTTTGAAACCTGTTCTTAGACTTATGACAAAGTAAAGGTAATTTTTCTATTTCATTGGTCAATATTTAAAGAACTTTAGCGATTGTTGAAAAAGTCGATTTCGGCCTTATATTTAGAGTATGAAGATTGCATTTTGAAGGACCAATTGTATATTTAAGATTAAGAGCATCTCTTGCACTATTTAGAGTAATTTGTTAGCAGTCTGTAGCATCTAGGATAGGGGAGATAGGTAGACTGAAAGAAAGTCATGTAAACGGTCCCGAAACAGTCAAAATGGCGCCTGGATGAAGTTTAGCCGCTAGTGCAGACGGTGAGATGGTAAAGCATATGCATACAAAATCTGAAAGGAATTGGGATAGAGAAAAGGACCTAATTAGGAATAACAAGCACTAGCTGCATGCAAAACGAATGTGATTTGGGCGGAAGAGGAATAAGAAAAAATTCAGAACGCGCAAATTGATATAAGGCATTGACTCAATTCAATTACATTATTATGTATATGTACTGGCACATGCATACACATTGCATCTATACCTTTTAGATGAGATAAAATTTGGGGACAGGAAACTTCAACAATAGTTTGCCCATTTTCATCCCTTCAAAAAAAAAATATCTCTTGCCCAATTGAAATCCCAATTCTTGGTTTATGAATGTTTACATGTAACAGGAGCAAACATGGTAAACAGAGGTCAACAAAGGAATCTGTTTGATATTCTTGGCCCAGTGTAAAATTGGTGTTATTGAAATTGCAACTCTTAACATAAATGTACATTATTAATTTTGATTTTAATTCATCCTCTGCTTCACTCTCCCTTGGTAAGATTGAATACATACAACTGTGCTCATGCCGGGGGTATCAACATTTTTTCTTCTTTTCTCCTTTGCCAGCCTAAATGTTTGCTCTGTATCCACCCTTTTAATTTAGTGATGGTATTCCTATTAACATTTATAAATGATTAAGGTATGTTCGAGGCACCAGATGGTGTGGACTTGAGTAATCTCCTTTGAAACCTGTTCTTAGATTTATACTCTCGTTTAATTTTTTTTAAGATTCTCTGTTTATTACATGGTAAACGAAGATGAGATATTCCTACTGTCCCCAAAATAGGAATTTGATATGAAATGTCATGGTAATAGTTATTCAGCCTGTATCCTTAGTTATTTACATTTCCCTCTTACTCTCTGTAGTTCTAGCAGCACATTTAGGGCAACCGCTCATGTAGGTTACTCATGTTTGGCTTACATCCAAGTGAACATCTATATTCTGCATCCCATCAGTAATCACTTTGTCATTTTATCCAGGTTGAACTCCGTATTGAGAGAGATTGTGGACCTACTGTGTCACTTGATGTGGCAGAGATGATATGCTCTATGTCATCCTTGAGGAAAGTTTTCGTTAACCGAGCTGCATTCCACCATCGTTTTTTTGAAACACTTGCAAGGAAAGGAAAAGAATCAAAGGTGAGCAGTTTATCCACAATTGTGATGTATGTGTGAGTTTTTAATTTAATTTCATTCCAATACCATCTCTTCCCTTTTCTAATTTTCTTTAATTCCTTTAAATATCTCATATATGCTGTTTTTTGTACAGAAGATAATATCAATGGTCTTTTTCACTAAGTTGGCAGCATTGTTTGAAAAGTGTGAAAACTAACCGTGGAAACCTAGAGTGTGGGCAGGGAGCACCATGTAAACAGCTGTATGCTTATAGAACTTGAATGCTCTAAAAAAAAATCACATATAGGAAGATCACACCATAATTAGAGGGGAAGTCCACCTTGATATTAAGTTTGTTTTAATAAAAGCAGAAAAATAAGAGAAACAAATATGTGAAAGTTTGAACAATATCTGATTAAAGATACACAAGTTATGAATTTTTGATGTTGTGATCAGTGGAACAAATATTTGCAACACTGATGTATCTTGCAAGCTCCTCTTCAATTTGTTCAATGCAGAAAATTTTATAAACTTTTATTTTCTTAGTTATTGATGATGGAATAGATATGTTTCATACAGGGGTTGCATAAAAATGATTTGTATGATTATATTTCGAATGAATGTATGATTGAAAAATTTCTTGAGGGAAATCATACATTTTTTAAAGGAATTTATTACAGGGTCAAAGGGAGGGGACTTTGCATTTTGCAAGATACGTCACAGAGTGGCCTATTTGGTATTATTGAGCTTTACTAATGAGGAAAAAAATAGAAAGCACTAGTAGTAAAACATTGGGTAGATAGCAATAATATAATCATTTTAGGCTACAATCAGTTTGAAGAAATAAGAAGGGTGAGTGATTCTTGCCTTTATTTTGGACTCTGATGCATTATAGTATCGGTCACATTTGCATTTGCAGGAAGAGAATTTGCATATAAATCCTTACAACTTTGGATTAAGGATTAACATGTTTTGGCATGTACTGAAAGTCAGATATATATGTATTTCTTAATCCTAGAAATATTATAAAGGTGCTGCCGGAGGCATTGGCCCGTATTCTGAAGTCGTGTCTAACTTAGCCATGTCTAAAGTTAAACAACTGTTTAGTTAGACACGACTTAGACGCGAGGTCGTGTCTAAGTCCTGTCTAACTAAATTTTGTATTCTGAAGTCGTGTCTAAGTCTTAACTAAACAACTGTTTAAGTCCTGTCTAAGTCGTGTTTAACTAAACAACTGTTTAAGTTCTGCGCAGGTCGTGTTTAACTTGTAGTCAAGACTTCTGCGCATGCCCAGTAGGCGTTAATTCTGACGATAGACCCAATACGCATGCGTGCGCGCACCGGAAAAATAAATTAACGCGCACAGCTAGCTGTGCGCGTGCTGGTACCATGGTGATGTGATCGTGACGTAATGACTAGACTGCATGTACTGTGTGTACGTTAACGCTTTTTTGGACTCGATGGTCAGGGTCACAAAGGTCAACTTATGAAATTCCAGAAAATAGCACATGTATTTGCTAGTCGATTCTGGCCCCTCTATGTAATTTACAAAATGGAAGATGTTAAATTTTACATCACAAAACACAAAATACAATTATAATATATAAAATAATTAGATAAATACAGAAGAGTATATGATAAGTGTCCCTGGCTAGCAGAGTTTGCATGATTTAAATCACTTCCATGGACTGTATCTGGACAATTACATTGTACCCCTTGGACAATTTACCCCCTCCCTTGCAACTACCAAGTACAATTTATTTGGTGTAAAAGTGTGAGAGGTTGAAATATCAGAGGTAAAATGCCAGAGATTGGAAAAAATGTGAGAAGTGACAATTCTACACATCAATCAATTTTGATAGATGTTTATCTATTTTGATTCACCAATACTTTGCTAGATCAATTATAAAAGAAACAATCGAGCAAACTAACCCAACAAAGATAGCTGCACTAGATGTCAGCATTTCCATGTCACCCCCCCCCCCCCATTTCCACTTCCAACTATGCACTGTGGGGCACCATGTATGTGACACATGTGAATATGTCACAAAATCACTCTGAATACTTGATTTTGTCACAAAATCAATGTCACATAGTGATTTTGTCCACAGAATCACTACTTATATTGATTTTGTCAAACCATGAAGTGAATTTTTGTTGTTTTAATTCTTGTATCTGAATCAAACAAGGCTAATTCAAGGTACTCCCATATTAAGGATATGTTTATGATCAGTTAGACATATATTTGAAATGCTTGAATTAATCTAGAAGATTGGTAGAAGATTTTTTGATGCCAACTTAATTGGTTTCATTGATATTAACATAAATCCATCCTCCATGAATATTACCTTATTGATTTCCACATAAAGGTAGAATTACTCTTTTTAGATTTCGTTGTGGTAACCATCGGTTTTATTGTTACTTCTCTTGCTTGCACTAAGTAATGAATTGTCAAGGAGACGCGATAGCTCAGTCGGTAGAGCAATGGTCTCGTAATCCGGTGACGCGGGTTCGATACCAAGGCGATGCGCTAGTGCCCTTTGGTAAGCCATTAATCCTCATTACCTCAATGGATACCTGTCTCCAAGATTTTCAATAGAGCGAGGTTGTCGGCTCTTATCTTTCTATTATGCGCCGAAATACTAGGTCTTTTGTTTAGAAATTCCGATTCCATTGTTGGTTTACCTGGTAGACAACTTAAAATAATTCAATATGCAGATGATACTCTGATACTTCTAATATTGAACGGGTCAGTAATGGAATTCAACGGTGCATTAAACATTTTAGATAAATATAATGCAATGTCTGGTTTAAAAGTTATAATACAGAAGACACATGCGATTTGGATTGGAGGATTAAAAAAAATAAAAATGGTGTTCTTTTGAATAGAAATCTAAATTGGGTGTTTGATGATTATTTCAGATATTTAGGTATAGACTTTTGTACGGATATGCCCAAACTGGTAATGCACAGTTTTAATGAAAAATTTAAAGAAATCAAAAGTCAAATGACATCGTGGTTCAGGCGATACTTAAAGAGAAGGTTCAGTTCTGGGAAGAGGTGAAAAATAATTTGTGAACTTTATCATTCTTACTATGCAAGCGTGGAAGAACATCAGATAAGACATGTTCCCTGAAAAGCATGGCTCTTCAAATGCCTTCATATTCTAAATATGTAATGTAACATCTTAAACTCGGGGGTAGGTTTTTTACGCCACATGTTTGTGTAGTCCCATATACATCTTTATTAGTACAGTGTTTGTAACTTTACCAATAATTGGCCAAATTTTTTATCATTTTGATGATTCCAGAACCTTGCAATACACACACATTCTTATATGCTAGATGATCAACCTTTTCTGGTCGATTCCACACCGTTTCTTTCACAATGCAATCGCATGACTAGAACTCAACTTCATCTTTAACTATTCTTGGAAGAATCACTGTCGTAAAGTCATTGTTGGTATTCAAATTAAACTACCTTTTTTGCCCCTCCCTAATCCTGGTGAAAATCTTTTGAAAGATATAAATGCTCACTTTTATAGATTTATATGGGGGAGAAACCTGATAAAATAAGTAGAAAACAAATGTCACAAAGTTACTCAGACAGAGGGGTTAAGATGATAGATTTAAACACACATTGCCAATCATTACAAATTTCCTGGATTAAGAGATTAGTTATTGGCTCAATAGATAGCAATTTCCTCTGTCTTTTGCAATCTTTCTTGCCTGAACTGCAAGATTTAAAATTATATATGGGAAACAATTATTTTTTGGAACAGCTTATTAAGCTTATTAAGCACTGAATCCAATGACCGGGGGTAATAGTATATTTGTAAAGCGCTTAGAGACATTTGTATTAAGCGCTATATAAAAATTAAATATTATTATTATTATTACGCTCTTGTCCATGCATTATGATAACATTTCTTGCCAACCCTTGTGGAATAATGATTACCGGTACATTAAAATAGGCAATAGCTCAATATATAATATAGATTTGTGTCAAAAGGGAGTTCGTTTTGTCAATGATATTTTAAACACAAATGGTGATTTTTTTCTCTCTGGAACACTTCCAAGAAAAGTATAATTCAAATAAAAAAAATTTTATTGTGGATTATGGGATGCAATTAGACAAGGGTTTAACAATTGTACTATTTTTAACAAGGTGCCACAACCTCTTTTCCCAGATACAATGGCATTTGTTATGAAACGTTTTAAAGGATGTTCACATAATATCTATGCAATTTTACCAAAGAGAAGAAAACGACTATGTAAAAGTTTTCTTAAATGGAAATGCATTTTCGATCTGAATAATAAGAGTTGGGAAACATATTGTTCTATTGGATTTAATTGTACCATTGATGTGGACTTACGATGGTTTCAGTTTTGCAACACATATTATATATACGAACGATCTACTGTTTAAAATGAATTTAGTCCCAAGAAAAGAATGTACATTTTGTAATGAACAGATTGAAACAGTCATACATCTGCTATGTGATTGTACGCATGTTAAACATATTTGAGATAGGTTATAGCACTGAATTTAAACTGGAACCGGAAATAAATTAACATTTTCATTACAAGATAAATTATTTGGTTTAAGAGGTTCAAATAATTATGCATTGAATTGTATACTGATTGTGGTGCGACAGATGGTGTATACTTGCAAAATAAAGAAAATATTGCCCGACTTTGATAATATTAGAGTTTCGATTATAAATTACTTAAAAACGAAAAGTATTTATTGCAAATTCGAATTGTAGAAATAATAAATTCACACAAAAATGGTTTCAATTCAGGAATTTGTTTACTTAAAATGACATTTTTTCTGTGTTTCTTTTTTCTTTCCATGAACTTAATTTCGGAAATTTATTATTGATTTGTTAGTTTTCTGTTAACTCAACAGTTCAACAATACTTGTATCTTTAGAAGCCAATTTTATTTATGTTATAAATGTAAATTACCTTGAATATATATTTGTTAATTTGTTTCAAATGAAAATCAATAAAATCCCTGTGG